ACACACACACACACACACACACACACACACACACACACACACACACACACACACACACACACACACTATTGATAATAATGGTAACAGACATCTGCAGATGGCTGAAGAATGTACTTCATTTACTTTCGTGTGTATTTCAGTGTGCATGCTTGTACCTTCATGGCGGCTCGAGAACTCTCAGGGACGCCCTCATTGTATTTGCCCGTCAACAGGCCGCAGGCTAACGGGGACCAGGTCATGGCTCCGACCCCTGAGACACACACACACACCTCATGTTGACCCACATCATTAAAGCAGTTTTTATTTAAGGATGAAGTGTTAAAGTAAGTGTGTGTGTGTGTGTGTGTGTGTGTGTGTGTGTGTACCTATCTTATGGTAGAGCTCCGGCAGGTGCAGCTCCACCTTGTCTCTCTGGAAGTAGTGATATTCAGCCTGTTCACACACTGGAGGGACCAGGTTAAACTGTCTCGCTATAGAGTACGCCTCCTGAGAGACAGACAGGTGAGAGAGAGACAGATGAGAGAGAGACAGACAGACAGATGAGAGAGAGAGAGACAGACAGATGAGAGAGAGACAGACAGATGAGAGAGAGAGAGACAGACAGATGAGAGAGAAACAGACAGGTGAGAGAGAGACAGATGAGAGAGAGACAGACAGACAGATGAGAGAGAGACAGAGAGAGAGAGAGAGAGAGAGAGAGAGAGAGAGAGAGAGAGAGAGAGAGAGAGACAGACAGATGAGAGAGAGACAGACAGATGAGAGAGAGAGAGACAGACAGATGAGAGAGAAACAGACAGGTGAGAGAGAGACAGATGAGAGAGAGACAGACAGACAGATGAGAGAGAGACAGACAGATGAATGTGTAACAGACTAATGATCAACTTTTACAAAACATGAAACACAAACAAGTTCAACAATCATCTCAGGTTTTCCTCAGGTTCTCCACCAGGTGGTGTCCTACCATGATCTCCACAGCGTTCCAGCGAGACGTTCCCCAGTACATCGCCAAACCCTGATCGATTACAAAGGTCATCGCACGGACAACCTCTGGAAACACACACACACAACAGATGTTAACAAGTTAAGTGTACGTGTGTGTGTGTGTGTGTGTGTGTGTGTGTGTGTGTGTGTGTGTGTACTGACCCTCCATCGGTGCGTTGAGGTCACTCCTGTTGGCGAAGACAATATCAACATAGTCCAACTGTAACCTGGATAGAGAACCACGCAGACCTACACACACACACACACACACACACACACACACACACACACACACCCTCAGTGAGTGTTGGAGGACACGCCCATCTACACCTGCACCCATTGGATGGTACTAGCTGTCAATCACACTGTGGTATCAGAGGAGACATTTCTATAGAAACTACCAGAGGAGTCGCCCTCTGCTGGTCACTACATAGAAGACAGGTCCTGGACCTGGAGTCAACTTTCTGTTGTTGTGTAGCAACGACCTTGTTTACCTTCAATGATGTGTTTCCGTGACAACCCTCTCTCTGTCTCTGCCCTATAAACACAAACAGAGTGAGACAGGTGGTGGACAGGTAAAGGACGGGTGAGACAGGTCAGACAGATACTCACTGTCCCCCCCAGTAGATCTTTGTGGTCACCACATAACTGGACCTCCTGGTGGTCAAGAGACACAAGCAAACACAGAGAGAGAGTTACCATCACTTACTGTGAAAGGAGTGTGTGTGTGTCTGTGTGTCTCTGTGTGTGTGTGTCTGTGTCTTTGTGTGT